ACTATCTAAGCATGGGAGGCGAAGCGGATCAGGGGATCAAAGGGAGGAATCCACATAAACATAACAGTAAGCCTTGTGTAGTCCTCATTGCTCCCAACATAATTGAGAGCAAAGTAAGCTCTGGCCTGATATAGAGTCTCGGTAGTGGGACGAATTGCATCGAGCCACTGATTGACCTTTTCCTCAGCCCAGAAGTGCTTTAAGACATTCCAGGGACACTTGTTAACTAAGCCCCCAAGGGATGACTGAAGCCCGCCACCCTGTCCGTGTCAGAGAGCGCATGATAGATATACGTATGTAAATATATAGACAATAGATGGAGTGGCACGGCGGATGAGCTGTAAACGGTGGACAGGCATACTCCGAGCTCTATATACTCCCAACTTGTCTTCTCTTCTTCTCAGTATATGGTATATACACCTACTCCATATCTCTCCCTCTCTCCATCTCTCCATCTCTCCATCTCCTTCATTCCTCCATCTCTCCATCTCGGCCGATTCTCCTCTCCGCCAGATTCCCGGAAAACACTTGGCCCAACCAAGCTTCCCGCGGGAAACCACCCGCTGCTTCCCCGGTCCCGGCTATTGCACGGAACCGTACGGTACGGTTCCTATTCCTGTTGGTGCGGGTAACATAGCGCCCAACAACCCGTCACGATACATACATAAATACCAGCAACGCGCTGATGCCGTGGTTCCGCGCCGGCATCCCGTTGCGGCGGATCGGGAAACTCCAAGTTAAATACCGGCGACATTCCCGCGAGACAACACACGCCCTTGACATCGCTGCTGGCTTGGGGAGATAGAGATAGAGATAGATATACATATCTACATATCTACATATCTACCTCTTGAAGATACGTCAGTCGAAATACCTATATATCTACCACCCCGAGGATGGGCAGCTACGGCGGGCCGCTGCACGAGGAGATGCACCCCCCGCCGAAGCCATGGACGGAGACGCCGCTGGTTGAGTCGGAGCCGCTGTCGAGGCTGGCTGGATGGTGAGCCTGGCTGCATTGCATGGGGCCATCCCCGCATGTCAATTATGAATGTTACCTACTAACCCATGACTGCGACAGCCGCATATTCCTCAAACTCGAGAACCTGCAGCCGGGCGGCTCTTTCAAGTCACGGTTAGTCATTATATCTGTCTCTCTCTCTCTCTCTATATATATATATATATCAACTGACAACCACACAGCGCCATGGGCAACCTGATCCTCCACCACCTCTCCCGCCCCGCCAACCACAACAAAAACCTCCACTTCTTCATCCCCTCGGGCGGCAACGCCGGCATCGCCGCCGTCACCGCCGCCCGCGCCCTCGGCTACCCCTGCACCGTCGTCGTGCCCACCTACACCTCGCCCATGATGCTGCAGCGCCTGCAGGCCGCCGGCGCCATCACCGTCCCGCACGGCGCCAACATCGACGTCGCCGCCGCCCACATGCGCCACGTGCTCATGGCCCAGATGCAGGGCGCCGTCGGCCCGGACGGCCGTGAGCTCGTCGCCGTCGAGCTGCACCCTTTCGACCACGAGGCTATCTGGGAGGGCGTCAGCTCCATGGTCGACGAGCTGGCCGTGCAGCTGCCCCCGGACGCGGGCGGGCGCGCCTTTGCGGCCGACGCCGTCGTGTGCAGCGTCGGCGGCGGCGGGCTGATGAACGGCATCATGCTTGGGATCGAGCGGCTGTTGCGCGGTGGTAGTAGTAGTAGTAGTAGTAGTAGTAGTAGTGCTGCTGCTGGTGGTGCTGGTGCGGGTGCTGGTGCGGGTGACGACGGGGCCAGCCGCGACGTGCAGATCCTCGCGCTGGAGACGCGGGGCGCGGAGTCGCTTGCGAAGGCGGTCGAGAAGCGCGCGCTGGTGTCGTTGGCCGGCGTGTCGTCGCTGGCCACGTCGCTGGCCGCCATGCGCGTGGCGGAGCGCACGCTGCGCAACGTCCTCTTCCCCCCCGCCGGCATGAGAGTGCGTAACTTTGTGATGGACGATGCGGAGGCGGCGAGGGGCGTGTTGCGCCTGGTCGATGAGCATCGCTTGCTGGTTGAGCTTGCCTGTGGGGTTTGTGTGGAGGGGGTGGTGGCGGGGGCAAAGTCCGGGGGGGAGGCGAATGGCCATGCTGATGGCCATGTGAATGGGGGCCCTGTGGGCGGTGGTGGTGGTGGTGGTGGTGGTGGTGGTGGTGGTGCGCTGCCGTCGAGACTTGCGCAGGTCATCCCGGGCTTCGGGCCGGAGACCCGTGTGGTTGTCGTTGTTTGTGGCGGGAGCAATATTACCCTTGAAGTGGCTGCGGAATATCGAGAGCGGCTTAATAACGGCTGGGGCGCTGAGAGCGGATGAAGGGTTTCTTTCTTTCTTTCTTTCTTTCTTTCTTTCTTTGTGCGTTTTTCATATAAGGTATTGTGCCTTGTGGGACTGGGTGTTGGGAGCAAGTCAAGTTAGACATGGGCGTATTTCTTCTCTCTTTTTCTTTTCTTTTCTTTTCTCATTCAAAGACGTAATGTAATGCATCTTTCTTGCTTGTGAGGTCTCAAAACAAAGAATAAAAAGGATGATAGACAAGATGTTATGGCAATCTGATGTTAATAAAACAAAACAGTTACATTTCATTATTTTTCATGTTCATGACTTCCTTTTCATAATGTTATCATTCTTGTTCGCACACCGTAGTGTCAGGCCTTAACTTTGAGCAACTTGTTAAAAAAAAAAAAAAAAAAAAAAAAAAAAAAAAAAAGAGAGAGAGAGACAACCATCAACAACAAGCCCTTCCAGACACATGCTGAGCTCCCTGACTCGTTTTTCGCATATCGAAACAAACCTCTTAGGCCACCGCAACGGACTCCCCATCAAGCATCCGAAGGCGATACGCCCAGTAATTACTGCGGATCGGGTCATACTTATCCTTCAGCAGCGTAAGCATCCTAGCCGCCTCGGCCTTCTTCTTCTTCTCCTTCTTCTCTTCCTCCGCGTCCCTTTCCTCCCCCTCCTCCTCCCCCTCCTCCTCCTCCTCCGCCTCCTGGGTATATACATCCGCCAACCACTCCAGAGCCAAACTGCTCTTAACCCGCCACACAGCCCCAGCCCCAGCCCCATCGCCCTCCACCACCTCCGCCACCTGCTCCTCCAAAACAAACTTGGCCGCAAACCCCTTAAGCTCCGCTAACGGTCTCCCCGCAGCCCGCAGCACACCCCGCGCGTAGGCCCAGGGACTCCTGTTCTCGGGCGCGAGGAGGATCTTGGTCTTCGCATACGCAAGCTCCGCATCGATGAGCTCTTCGTCCACGACGACGAGGCTGCCCTTGTTGTGGCAGCTGCGCCGTTCGTCGTCATCGTCGTCGTCGTCGTCGTCGTCGTCGACGCCGAGCGGCATGCCACTATCGACGGCGCCGCGCGGGCCGAATTTCAGCGTCCACCGGTGGTTCCAGGCGGAGTTGTTGCGGACGTCTTGGTCGATGAGTGCTTCGACGTCGGCCAGTTCCTGCGGGTGGTCCCAGAGCTTGAAGTGGCGGACCAGCCAGTGGCGGTAGGTCCAGACGTGGTAGTTTTTGGAGTCGAGCGCGAGCATCTGCATGAGGAATTGCTGTTCGTTGGCTGGGAGGGTTGGGAATGATTGGGAGTTGGACATGATGAGTTGGCGGTGGTGCCTGGTATGTCCAAATTAGTGGGTGGTTATTTAACTATATGGGGTTTTCCCCGGCCTCCCTCACTTACCATATTTGATAATTCTTCAAATACTGCAATGCGAGTTTATTAACCCATGCAAGCTCCTCGTTGAGATCCTTCTTCAATGCCTCGAGAATCTTAACTCTGTATAGCCTGTATTAAAAGGAAGGCAGAGGGAACGGATATCCCAAATCGCATCAGTAAGTACCCTGTCAAATCGAATTCCCATAACTGCAATTAAATAAATACTATACAAACACACACCATGGATGTTTTGGCAACCCTCAGATAATCATCCTACTGTGATCGAGGCAAGGAAAAGTGGTGGAGATTGCCAACGCTTTTTTTTTTTTTTTTTTTTTTTGGCTTGGGGAAGTAAGTACATGTAGGTAAGACTCACCAAACCGTATAATGCGCCGGATTCATCAAGATCACATCCCCCGTCAGCTCCAGCGCGCGCTCTGACATTTCATTTTCCGCCATAACAGCCCGCAGGTACGAGGTTGCCTCTTCGTACTCGGGCGCGTAGGCGATTGTGGCGAGCGGGTACGTCCCATTTCTACTCGTGCTTTCTCGTTGCTGCCCTGGGCCGTCATTGTCATAGTAAGTTGAACCATCATCGAGCGGGATGGGAGATATGGAGGCCCAGGCTGGTGTGGAATATTTGCTCATTTTCGGGTGCTCTTTTTGCCGTTTTTGTTTTTTCCCCCCGTTTTGTGAGATGCAAGGTATCTATATGGAGTAGGTGATTGATATTTGATTGCTAAATCAGGGAGAAGCGGGAAACAATGAGAATTAGATAGTTGTAGAGGGCTAGGATCTCACAGCGTCCTTCGAAGGGGACAATGGGAAGATCTCAAACTACTATGCCAACTAGGCAAAATCTAGAGAAGCACCTTATGCGGGGGTTCCCGACTGTGCAAGTTGAAGAGGTTATCTATGGGCCGATGGCAGATGAGCTCGTGGAATTGTTCCCTTCTGGCCCCGCTACCTGGATGGGTGAGAGAAGATAGACGATCCGGCGCAATGGATTCCCGGCATCTAGCGAACAAAGGAGATGGATGGATCGACAATATATCATCAACACAGGAACAATAGAACGCACAGATATAGTTAGAGCCTCGGATGGAGTTAAATCTACGTTCGTGCCCGATCCGGCAAGCGGCTGTAAATACCACGTGATCCTATTGACCAGGATGAGGATTCTTATAGAAACGAATACTGCTTTGGCCAAAAACGCTACATATAAACAGTGAGCAGAAGGGTGATGATAACGCATCACAGCACAGGTATTAATTTAGCAACATATAATTTTTATAAACGACATCGGAGGAAGGAGGTGCAAAATATAGAAGCAAAGAGTAGAAGCATTGCCTGTGTTAAAATAAAAAAAAATGGAGCCATAATTGATACAGTATAGAGGCAACTCAAAATTAAATAGTGTCGATTGGTATAAATCAAGGGAGAAGAATCGATAAGAACGAACCCGAGATTGCTCTCATGCTCTCTGATCTGGATTGAACTCTGGGGGTATTATTATTCTTCAGAGAGTAGAGTCGCGGGTGGAGAAATCGCTTTGATAAAAGCAATTAATACTCGTAGGCAGAAATAACAGAATATCCCGGAAATGCGGATGCGACATAAGCGATGACGCGTTCGAGGGTGGTGTTGGAGATTTACGGGAGTTCGAGAGGTGGTAAGGGACGGATGAGATCCTTCAAGGAAGGGTTTCGACAGGGCAAACATACGATTGTCGATCGGGTATTGCAATAAATCCTATGCAGAAGTGAAGCCAGCCACTCTGGAGGATAACAAGAAAAGAAACAAGAGAAACAAAATTCTGGATGGAGAAAAAGCTGCTTCGCTGGAGAGGAAACGAAACTAGTTCGCATTACTTCCACGCTTCCAGAATTTCCAGCCCTCTCGCTTCTCATGCCCACCCACACCCACTAAACGTTCAATCCCAGCGTTCCCAACCGCATTCTCGAATTTTTGTTGGTCAATCTCCTCCCCACCTTCCTCGTCCGTTCCATTCTTCAGTACAGCAGGCCACAGCACTCCAATACCATGGCCACCCAGAATGGTTTCATAACGCTCAAATCCTTCGTCGTCTAGTGTTTTTTCTAGGCGCTTCAATGCTGCTGGGTCTGTGTTTGTTCTCAGCAATGTTATCGCGCAACCACCGCCGCCAGCACCTGTAAGTTTCGTCCAGCCTGAGCCAGTGTGGTCAACTAATTCTCGGATGCGCTCAAGGCGGGGATGAGATACTCCGAGTGAAACGAGGAGGCCATGGTTGATGCGGAATAGCTCGCCAAAGTGATCGATCGCCTCGCTGGAGCTTTTATCAAAGCGCCCGGACTGGATGAGGTTGCTGGCAGATTCCGTAACCTGATCTATGGCTTCGAGGATCGATTCAGAAACGGCAGGGTGTGCTTTGCAAAAGTTGGCAACTTTCGCGACCTCAACTGAAGTGGACCGTGGCTGGCGCGAATTAACAAGGAGGAGAGGAAGTTCGGGGAAATCAAGTATGGGAGTCACGGAGGGCGGTTTGGAATAATCTCCTCTTCTAAATATGACGGCTTTCCCGCCAGCTGACACAGTATTATCCACACCACTGGGGTTGCCATGTATGCACATTTCACCAACGAACGCCCACTTGTTTATTCGCTCAATCTGGGTTTCTGCCTCTTCAGGCAGCTGATCTTGATGTGGACCTGCTAGAATACGTATCTGTAACAAAAGAGCTGCGCTAAGACAGACAGCTATACTAGCACTGCTCCCTAATCCAGCACCAATGGGGATGGTTGATCGTAGTGTGTACACCGCGGCATGAGTCTGTGGGGAGCTGAGGGAGAGAAAGAGATATAGGAAAGCAGTTGCTGAGCTTTGGTGGATCTTCCGCACCTCATCTGGTTTGCCAATAGATATGTCTGCGATATGTGGCTGTATAGCTTCAAGCAGCTCAGTGTCAAGAGAGGTGACAGAACTGTAGTAGAATTTTTTCTTGGATGGGTGATGGAATAACTCCCAGGGAAGCGAATCAATATCCCATGTGTGATCCAATTCAATATCCCTGAAATTAAGCGTAATGGTGCGATGCGACTTTGATAAGGTAGTAACAAGAAGGTAAGAACGGAGGGATATGGCAGCGGCTATAGCCCGCCTACCATGCACAACGGCATGTTCTCCGAAGACAATGACCTTACCGGGGGCGGAGACCATGAACGCCGGTGCCATGGGCGACGATGCTTTTCTCCCCATCCTGGTTCGATTGCTAACAGTTGGGGTATCGCGTTGATCATCAGCGTGACCATTTGTCCCCGAGAGTGTGGGAGAAGGTGTCGACATTCCATCTGAACTTTCCGACGTTTCTTCTTGTTGGGCGGGGATATGGGTCTGGTCTTTGGCTTCGATGGAATTCTTTGGACGGGAAGGGATTTCTCTGTCGCTATCCTCGGTTAGAATGCTGGCAACCTTCCGCCGCGCATTCGCCTTCGAATGTCTCATACTCCCACCCTTTCGTCGTGCAGACTTCTCCATGGGAAATAATGGGACGCGCAGGTAGGTAGGTACCACAAACTCCCCACTTTCCGAGACGTTGCTTTTCAGCAAGATGTGAACTGCGAAACAGACCAGGTCACTCACTCACTCACACACAATGCCGATTGATAAGCTGACAATGTATCAAGGGGAGCACAATTCGACAACCTTTGATAGGACAACCCGAGACCAGGGGGTCAATGCGCTGTGACAGGAGAGAGATCGATCAGAAATTTCGCGGTGGATGCCTGATATGCGCGGTGATGTTGGCGGAGCTAAGGAAAATGCCAATTGCCGTTTCGGGACCAAGACGGCGCCAAGCGCGTAACTATCTCCGCCGCGGATGAAGCGGTATTACACAGCATCTTCAGCCCCAGAAAACTGAGCAAGTCGTTGTTTTTGGATCGATGACTGCACTCGATCGCCGGGTCCTTACAAACGCCTGCAAGAATCCAGAAGATTGAGTTTGACCAAGCCGGAAAACACACGCTAGAAGAAGCCATGGAAGCTGTTCCCCATCACAGTATGAGTCGGCCAGTCAGATCCCACTTGTTAGACACAATTCCCAGGCGTTTCACGATACGAGTATGTTACATCGGGGTTCTAAATAGGGTCGAAAATGCTTCTATTGAAACTCTCACACAGAGAGTTGCTTTTCTGGAGGGAATTCATGTCCGTGACAAAGGGCGGGAATGCGCGTAAAATCCTAAGATGCAACTATTTGGTTTGACTGCTGGAGAAGGAATCCATCAGTGGCATGTACGGACAGGACAAGTATTTACTTCCAAAGTCTGATACCCGAACTCTTTTTTCTCATACAAAAAGGAGAATTTGATACATATAAAATATATTTCTTATTTGTAATTGATAATTTTCTGTCGTTACATCTTTTCCAACTATATCATAAAAGATTGGCTGAAAAATAAACATAATTCACAATATAAAATTTCTACTGTGAATTTATCTACAGTACATTTATATTCGGATTATTAGTTACAATTTTCGTATTTATATTAGCAAACTCATCCTCTTGCAATATATGACGGAGGTGGAAGGCTGGTTAATTTTAAATATCTGGCGGATGCTCCTTTTCTATATTATGGCCCTATCAGGCATTGGGGCGCCAACAATATCGTTATGGATAACTTCATCAATATATAATATAACTATTATTTATTGTTAAGTTATTAAATAATATATATATATATATATATACATATGGAATAACTGCATTCCTCATTCGTTTAATATTCAAATTTTTGTAAAATATTGGGTGGTGGTTTTATCGATAATCCTAACTACTGTAGCTGATCTGAATAACTACGCCTCACTCATATCTTCTCCTTTACCGAATGCTGGAGTTTTTCAATGAACATGAAACGTATGGTATGAGATTTCAACATAGAAATTATACTTTATACTAACTCCACAAGTGTGGACTAACTTATCCCGATTATTGATTCTTTCAATTCGTATGGAAAATCACATTACCACGTCATTCCCTCCAGATTCCGGCCGTATCGCAAGCGGCCGTGGGGGAGCAGAGATCAAGATCCCTCCTTCACCAACTTGCAAGCTGGTAAAACTGGCAAGGCTGGCCTTCTCTGCCTGACATTATATTTTAACGAATCAACGAATTAGTCGTGGAATCCTTGAAGCACGGAATCTTGCTGGTGGGTGAGGGGCAACTCTGGAAAGCCTGGGGTATTTTAAATGCCGATACGTCAAATCCTTCTAGAAACGAAAATGCTGACCTGCAGGAATTTAAATTCAACTATTTTTCGTATATGCACACTCTAGATGGCAAATCGGTGATGTCAATCAATAATTAATAATTAAATACTAGTAACAAGTTATCCGATACTGAGCAAATTGACAACGTGTGAAATATATGATCCTTATCATCTAACACTGTTTCCGAAGGCTAAGGGCTGTGGGTTAGGATTATTTTCTTCATCTAGGCTTGAACATATCAAATTATTAGTGATAGCTTTATCAATCTTGATATTTGCAATAGGTGGAATGTTCCCAGTCAATTAGATTTAGAATAGTGGCTTGCTTTATTTTACCATCCGTATTTCTATGAGAGAACGAAGATGAAGAAAACTTGAGACGAAGGGCCAATACAAGTGCCCAGCTGTTCTCCAGCTGGGCAACCCCTTCGACAAGTCCTATAAACAAAAAGAGAATAACCTGGAAGACATATTGAGAATGCAACTAAAAGCACCGTTGAAGGAGAAATACATATTTCAGGCAAGAATACCCATTTGTAGAAGGACCTCAACGATTCAACCAAGGAGAAATGGAGCTGTCCAGTATCAACGTAAATATCCTACTTGACATTACGCGATACAATGCATAAATAGACAGGCCGACAGATAAAGAAAAGAAACAAATATGTGGGTATTGAAAATATCTTCATAGTCACTCCTCGTGAACACCAAACCATGATTTAGCTTGCGCTGGCACTGCCTTCGGCCCATCCATCATAGAAGGCTAAGGGGACCAGGCACCCCGACGTCGCAGGCTCTGAAGGAAACGTTCAACAGTTTCCCCATGACCGGACCTTCTAAAAGCCTCGAAGATTATGCGCTTTTCTTCGCATATTGCATCCCCAGCCACTGCATTTAGGTACATCAAGGAAATGGCAACAGGGAAGCTTGCCAAATGTACTCCGTACGCTCCAGATTGCGGATGTAAGAGCAGAGGCATCGCTTTAGCGATTCTGCCGCAATATATCCTCGGATCGGTCTGTGGCGGGAGGATTACCTGAGGACAGGACAGAATCCGAAGAGAGCTGTATAGAATGATGCATATGGCCCAGTAGAGACACATGATGTGGCACGCCGCTAGATAATCGAGCGAAAATGTTGAATGTTCGGCATCGAGGCTATACGTCGGATCAGTGATGCCTACCTCGATGCGCCAGGACACAAGCTCTTTTTCTAATTCCCAGCAACTTTGAAGCAAATCACGCCGCTGGAATTCCCGTATTTCCTGATCCAGGCACGCTCGCATTGTATCCATGTTTTCGAGAAACGTTGGTATCTCGACCAGAATGTCGATCAAGAGATCCTTTGGTGTTTTGGGTATCTCGTTCCAAGGAATAGTTTTCCATTCAGGATTGCTTAAAATAATTCTCTTTCGGGCTTGAACGGCACAGGTTGTCTGTGGGGTCGAAAACAATCCGAGTCAGCACATACGTCATATTCGTGCTCAAGGAGGCTTATGGGAAGAAAAAGTATGCTGACAAGATGAAGTCTTCCGTCGACGAAAAATTGGTGCAAGTATCCCGAAATGTAAGTTTCCGGCGGTTGGGAGGTCAGAATAGCCAGTTCACCATTAACGTGGTGTCGCCAATTACGAGCCTGGGCTATTCTGTCCTCGTCATCCTGCCCGAAGAAAACCTAGTACATCTGTGAGCAGAGGCGGATACATTGTTTTCGCCAACGGCACTAAGCACAGTACCTCGTAAAGGCTATATAGCCTGGACATGACACATAAAGTAACGATATTTCCTCGCGTCCGATTAGCGAGCGCAGCAGACATCTCGCTGAGAGACTCCATATAGTATCTAAGCCCTTCCTCTTTTTCCCATCTGTTGTTGCTTATTCGCCCTGCTGTTGATAGGCAAATCGCAAGCAGTATTTTTTGAATATCTGGCGAGTTAAGATAAAGCTGGGGCAGCGAATTTGTCCAACCGCCGCTGACGTACATCATCATTTGTGCTGGGAAGTGTTTATCTGTGGGAAGATAACTACTCCAGAAAATACCAAGATACTTCTCTGCATATGCAGCCCGCGCCAGAGGCACCTGTAAGGTAACTTGGGGCGAGCCCTTATCACTTCGACCAGCTTTACGAGGCTCCACACTGAAGTTGATGAAGCGGAGTTGACGCTCATATCCATCGCACTTCAGTCCTAGCTTGATGCATTGTCCACACGATGGGCGTTTTTCGTCGCACTATGCGTTGTTGGTTGTTAGAATCCTAAGTTCCTCTGCCCTTGGATCGATGACTTACGCCTCCTTTCTTACGGATCCTGCAGGTACCACAACTCTTGGATCTCCCGGGAACGCCAACCATCTCGACTATTTGTTCGTTGGCTCTGTATCCAAGGGCGCGGATTGTTTCCTATTCGGGTACAAACGAAAAAGTCTCAAGCGGAGTCGCTGTTGGTGGACCTAGGCAACAATAGAAATGAAGCCGAATTCAGTGTCTAACTCTCTTAACTCACGGTCTATTCGGACTCAAACAAGACTGATCGAACAGAATATGCTGATTCCAATTCACCTGTATTGTTAGTTTGGCTGGGAGAGGGAAGGGATTAAATACTGAGTGGTGATATCTTCAACCACGCTTTTAAGGCAAATTAAATACGCCCAGCCTGTGCTAGGTCTTTTCCCTAATTGCCTTCCACGCCGTTCCGTAATGAAACAAGTCCCGGCTTCTAGTTCATGGCCCCCTCGAATTGTAATTACTCCTGGGTCGTTAAGGCTGAAAACCCAACTAAACCCGCGAGAATTACGACGATATATGCGGTCCATTGTCTATATTTAGCGCATGGGATGTTGAGATGGACGGAGCACCCTATTCAGAATTCGTATGAGTGTCAACCCATAGGGCGATTGTTTTCAACAGAACAATTAGCGTCCTTAGCGCACCACCGCAAAACTTGAGTATGAGATGGCGTAGCTTGGCGATACTTCAGCCAATAAAACAGCTAACAAGGCATAACAACCAACACGTAGGCACAGGCAGAGCGGGTTAAGCTTTAGTTATAACATTCATGTTAAGTTACATGCTGAGACGGATTATTTAACATTACCCGAGGCGCCGATCTAGTGTCGAACCTGCCTTCCAACAGCTGAGGTAATCCCGCACAGGCACGGCATCACCGCTATGCTGCAGGTTGTGAACTAAGGTTTAACACTAAACCTAACCCGGAGGATTACCGCGCAAGGACCAATAATTCTTCACAGAACAAAACCTTAAAGCAATTTCACTCCAAGGCTTAAATTTAAGCATGAATTGTTAGCGGCTTGGCATATATATTGTTCTACGGATTTTCTTTCAATATTTTCATATGGTCATCGCGGGTATTAGGGCTATCCCAGCTCATCTCTCGGGAGTTGAACGAATAGAAGAGATTTCGATCTTTAAAAATTGCTGGAAAAATTGGGAGATATAACTCTTCTAATTCCCGCTCCATTTCTCGATCATAGAGTGAATTACAGCACGCACCCTAACCCTTTAAAATCATCTACAATAAACCTCGAACCACTCGCCAATTTGACTCATTTTCTCAATATTAGCCATGGCTAATGTTGACCACTCACCGGTCAATATCTTCGTAACAGTGGCCAGGAAAGTTTATAATCCAGTTGGATTCTCCAGGGCCGCAACTTTATTGTCTTTTTCATATTTGCTGGGGCGTTGAGTGGATTCCGCACTGGCGAGATTCTAACACCTCAATTACTACGGAATATTCTACGAATCACCTAGGATCGGCGAGCGCTACTTCTTCACGAAAGGCATTGAGGAAATTGGCCTGATTGTTCTCCTTGACACCATTCCCCTGGGTTAATTTCCTCGTCGTTTTCCAATTTATCTCTGCTATCTGACACGAGTGGATCATGGTCCACAGGATCAATGGCTACATGATCCTTGTTCTATCCATTGTTAGCATGAAAATTTCCCTAATTGCTGCTAGCCGTTCTTCGCAGGTTACCCGGACACCCAAATGGCTGTTGAGCCCATCGAAATTCTCTTCATTATATTCACATGGTTCTGGGACAAATCAACGTCGAACGCCTGCAACTCGAGCAGCACAGAGTCTGGATGCTCAGAGGATGGATTTACGTATATTATGAATTACTCTATCTAGCATTTTGACAAAATTTCATGACTAACAACTCGTTCACCGTTTCAGTCCTCATGCATTATTACCCTGCGGGCCCTGAACATCGTCATCATGACATGTCTAATAAGCGCAGGGGGTGAGTGGTATGGTGCCGAACCTTGTCCACAGTTGAGTACACCGCTGGAGAGAATAGAACACGAACCATGTAGTTACCCTGATTGTGATGCTTACTGCTTCAGCGACGATTTAACCAAGCAAGTTCTGGTTTAGGCCAAGTATAGAGGAGGGGGTAATGCAATGAACGCCAGAGATACTTCTGTTGGGGGGATTGGATTGGGTGATTCGTACCCTCTATACCACCACGGCGCTGGTGGTGATTGAGCTCTTTCGCCCTAGTGGCCTAATACTTTCGTCTTCGCTTCGGACCACCCACGTGGCTGGCGTTTAGCCTCCACGCGATTATCGAAATCCACGTACGTTTTCAAAATCCGCTATTTCCAAAGCCAAACTGTCTCTGTTTCGTCCCCATGTCCAAAACGTTGAACTGCTACAAAAGTTAACGATCATGTTCCAATTGTACAGCTTCATCTGACCCTGTTCGAAGCCGAAGGGACTTCGAAGTTTATCCTAGCAGCGGCAACAAGAAACTGACTGGCATGGAGAACTCGGGACGGGCTGGATTGACCGCTGACCGTTTGGGTGACTCTGCGTTACGGACACCATAGTATGAACTATATTCCCCTAGTGATGATAACGGAGGGAAATTTCATGGGCTATGTCTGCTTTTACGTACCCCCTCTGAATTTCTTTTGTTATCTAATTTCATAGAATAGTTATAAATATATTTCATATTGAAGGCATGAAACTAAAAATCGAAAGCTAGGGTCCTAGGAGCCGATGAAGCTAACCAGGAGAGGCTTTAGCGCCGGTTTTCGGTATATTTTACATTTTCAATAAATCTTAAACACAACCCGGTACCCCGGCGCCGGAGCCCCGTTTTGTTGGGCCAACAGGAAGACGAGAAAGAAAAACCCGATCAGGGCAGCCCTTGGAGTAATTCTGCCTAGAACTGATGCAGTAATGCTGGGGAGTCTCTCAATGCTCCCATGGAGTAGGGTAAATAATAAATATGCGTAGAAAGTTCGCAGTTGGATTTGAACTAGCTCCCATACCATTACCTCCATCTTTGCTTGGATTGCAAACGAAGAATATCCCCCCTTGCTTCTTGGGCGCCACACAGTTTGCCGGTGTGCATTAAGTCAGGGTCACTGGAATGTTTATTCTCCGGCTCCAGCCCTAGCATTGGATGCGAATATGAAATGAGACTTCATCTTCATTAAAACTTTTTCTTTCGGCCAGACGCAATGCTAATTGGTAGAATCCTGTTCTTCGTCCCTTAGAAGCCAGGAATAATGAAACCGTTGTAGCGACCCCAATACGGTGCAGCGGGAAGGCTCCCTAAAACGGTTAGCTCGGTGTTTTATTTTAGCAATACTGTGTGTTTTTCAGCTACTCCGTACTCAAATCCCTGGACAGGGTCTTCAATCTCAAATCGGCTGCTAGGGGAGATGCAAGGGTTAAACTTTAAGCCAACCTTTGCTGCAAGGATCGTGGCATTCCGAAGCAGGAACCTATTTTTGAAAAGTCCTGCGCATCTTTATTTTTGTCCCATATTGGTTTCCTGAAAAGGCTATTTCTGGCGATATTTCTACCTACTCTCTCGCTGGAGCAAATAATGTGGAGAGCATCATCACCCATATGGAAATGCCTTTCCGTATCCAACTGCTAGGGTCGGTATTTTGGGCCGTTTCGGAGCCGATGTTGGCAGGGCGGAAAAGGTACTAACGGTTCGGTCACCGACAGTTCGACCTAATCCCGCCGCGCCAGTGGCATCTCGCCGAACTCCATCACTTTGTATTAATCTGGGCTTTATGGTGCCATCGCGAAGATAGTTCATCTCTGGAACACAAGTATTTGTCTGAAACTCAGGATCAAGAATGCCATTTGCACGATCACATTGTTCACAGTCCTTGGCATGCCAATGCAACAGGCCCAAATCAATAAATTCAAGTTTTTCATCAGGAAATGTTTTGTTGCATTGAACCCCAGGATTGTGTCTATATGGATAAGACACCTATGCATTTTAGCCAACAATTGTGCATGCATAGCTTCTAATAGACCACAGCCAATACTACGGAGTAGTATTTAAACACTCACTAATTCTGCCCTATCTAAAGTGTAATTCCACAGTCTAGCCCAATACAGGCTGGCTTGAGAGTTCGCATGTGTTTCAAATCGCCGATTTCCCGAATTGCCAATACGAAAGCACTCATGTAGTTACTCTGTACAGTACATGTACTGAACCTGCAAATCCGGAATTCATAAGGTTTTTCCCCTGCAATGCAGTGTGGTCTTTGATACAGGTAACCCACGAGGCTACCCACGAGGCTTCTCACGTCATCGACCGCCATTTGGAGTGATGGTCGTTAGATCAACGCAAAGTCCTTTGAAGGCTTGGGAACGCTAAATTGACTGTTGTTTCTGATTCCACGAGTCTAATGTGACCTTCCACATGCACCACAAGTATGCAAGCGGCGTGGTGATACTCAGTCAAATTAGGTTTTAAGGGTTTGGTGAAATTAACGAAGTCGCATCTATGAGCTGGGGATGGGGTCAGTCTGAACCGTTTCGCCGTGGTATGCGGCGGTGGTTGTTAGATATAGGAACAGACGGAGCTGATCGTCTCCTTCACAACTCGTAGCCTATAAATCTTATTTACGGCGGCAATTTTAACATCTTCCGTCCCCGTACCGTCCCGTACGACCACGAACAGTACGGATTAGAAGTCCTAAAGCAGCAGTTTCGATACTTCGGTCCTGAGGAGATCGCAAGTCCGATGACCATCACAGCTATTTTATACCTGATGCATGACGTTCCGCAGTCAAGAACAACGCCGTTCCATTGGACGACAGAGAGATCTTTGCGAAGGATAAGGTGTTCATTGGAAAAATCGTGAAGATGGATTGGAGAGATAGGCCAACCGCAAGGAAGATTTTGGCGAATGAGTGGTTTTAAAGAGGATGAGTGAAGAAATCATTATCATCAACAGCAGCTTCTGTTGGAGCTACCTACTACACAAGCCCTATCCCACGTGACCCACACACATGGAAATATTATCTCGCCACTAGATAGATAAACCTCTGGATGATAGCATAATACGTCCGGCCGTTTCTGGGCATCATCACTCGGCTTTAAATCATGTTTCAGTGAGATCTGAGTGCAAGATTCTACATTCGCAATGGAAGGGGTGTTCCCCATACAATGAGAGAAACATGTTATGCTGGTTGACTATGTTTTGGCCATTTTTGTTAACTTAAGCTACTATACATGATGCCGCAGCTTGCTCACGTCTTGTATGGTGTACCGTAACAAAATGATAAAAAAATAAGATATAAAGGGTATTGCTACAGAAGGTATAAGGCGTAGGGTAACAGCCAGTCTGAAGACCGAACAGTATATAATGAAATTCGGGGGAACATAAGCAGCCTATTAAACAGTAGTTAGTATCTAAAGCACATAGGTTGTTATAACCGAAGAAGGAAAAAGATATCGGAAGTATTAGATAAATAGAATATTTATAGCTAAAGTCTAAGTTTTACTGAATTCCAAGAGAATAAGGTTGAATCGTATGAAGTTTTTATTGTTAAAACCAACCTGTTTCTATGTAAACATTCGTTGAATCCTTATTTAGCTAGAGATCTCCAGGTGCCTTCCTGCCTTCCTGCGCCCTTGAGAGATTCACACTGAAATCTCTTATCATTGCCAGCTGCCCTCCCTGAATCCCTGCGAATACCTGTATATTACTCTACATTCCGTGCTTGTAATTGATTTTGAAAGGAAATATTTTAAAAGCAACTTAATGGAAAAATTTTTCGATGTGAATGGAAACAGAATGTTCGAGAAAAAGGAAGCCTGTAACCCTCACAAAGGGTATGTCTATAAACATTTTACCTGCAGAGCCCCAGCGTACTCAATAGGAAACAGAAGGGAAGCCAAGATGTAAAAGGGAATGGATTGTCGGAGTTCCTTCGCAACTCCGGAAAGAAACAAACAAGCCGTGCCGGATGATCACATTGGCATAGCGGATATAGATATAATACACGCAATCAGCCAAACCAGGCCAACAATATCCCTCGTCCCCCAACCCCTCTTAATTAATCTTTGAACTCAGAAGTAGTGTCGCTGTCATGTTCCGCTGTAGGGATCGTGTGGTCGATAGTGCTCCTGTAACGGATGGCGTCTTCAAGATACTCCGGTTTAAGCTGACCATGCTTATTGTAACGATAAGGCTCCTTGATCGAGTTGGTAACAGCATTAAAAACGTTTGTGGACTTCTTGAAGATGCTGTCCATCTCTTCGAGGGAGCGATATCGAGTCTCGGGGAAGAAGAAGTATACTGTCGGAAATATAAATGCGTTTCTAGTATTTGTGAGCTTCTAGAATTGGATACCAAATTGGGGCCACAAGAATACGTTGGGAGAAAATATTTACATTACAGCGAAGATAACATAGGTCTTGTACCCGATGCTGTCGAATGCCACGGGTGTGATCATCACGACCATGAAGTTAAAGATCCAGTTGGCACTGAACAAAAAATTAGTTTCGTCATATTCTCCAAGTATACAGAAAGGGAGGCTGTTTATACCTAGTTGACAGTGCATTGGTTGGAGCACGGATTCGGAGGGGCACAATCTCTGCCGGGTACAGCCACGTCATTCCAAGCCAGCCGATGGCAAAGAAGGTGTTGAATACAAAAAGGAAGATTGCCTGTGCGATACCAGCTTTGCTATCGTCCAGGTACGTCAAACGATAGTTGGAACCTGCAAGAACCGCCATGGAGATGGACATACCAGCCGCCTGAGGTACCAAAAATTTGTTAACTGATGTGATCCCAATATTTGGATGTGGGTGAGGGACATACCCCGAAAAGCATGAGAGGCCGACGTCCAACTTTCTCGATGATGTAGATGGGGATAAAGGAGGCCATGAAATATTCCGTTCCGTTACAAGCAGCTAGCAATTTTGGAAGATTGCTACCGGCAAGACCGATTTGACTGTACAATTGAGGAGCCTAAATAATATCAGTAACGAACGCAGATGACAGCATCATGGTGAAAGGTAGCTCACATAGTATGTGATAAGGTTGATGCCGGATATCTGCTGATACATCTGGACCACGTATGCGAGGACAACGCGATGGAATTCACGGTATTCACTCATTTGGAAGAGACTTCTATATGAGCCCTTGGACATTTCCTGGACGGTGGCTTCGATGGCCTCGAGCTCAGCTTTGATAGCAGGGTTTTCACGGGGCATGTCGTTAAGAGCCTCAAGAATGTCAAGTGCGTCATCCTGTCGGTTCTGCATGACAAGCCATCGTGGAGATTCAGGCAAGTTGAGAATGGAACAGAAAATGATCATCGCAAAAGAAATCTGAAAGGCCAAGGGAAACCGCCATGCCACCTCATTTTCTCCAATCCATGCAAAACCTGTTCCGCAATCATCAGCGTGTGTGTTTTGTTTGAGAAGAATATAAACAGTTTCAACCCACCATAGTTAACCCAGTAACTAAAAGTAATACCTCCTGTAATCAGAGCGCCCTCAATCATAATCAATTTACCACGATCATGAGATTTGGCAGTTTCTGATTGCCATGTTGGCACGGTACTAGTGTTAATCCCGTTGCCAATACCGGTGACAATTCTACCAACAATTAAATGCGGCAGATGATATGACGTGCATTGCAACAAGGCCCCGATAGACATGATGATGCAACCTGTGAAGATTGTTCTCCGTCTACCTAGCGGATTCCCAATGAAGATAGTGAGGATAGCTCCCAGGAAACATCCTAAGTTGTAGGCGGCAACTGTGATGCCTTGGTTCGAACTGCGCTGGGATTGGGCAACGGGGTCATTTTTGATAAGAGGGTCTAAAGGATCGATTGAGGGGAAGTATTTGTTAAACGATGGAAGATCTAACAGGCCTCCTGTTACACCCTGATCGTAGCCAAAAAGGCTTTGAATTTTTTGGGGGTGCACGGATCAGTTTGCGAAAGAACCCTCAGCATCATGGAATGACAAAACATACAAGAAATCGAGGCTGCCGAGTGAACTGATAGCAAGATTCAAGGTGCGACCTCTAAGGCCCATGAACTTTTCCCCTAACATGACGACAACGCACAGCGCAAACAACCCACTTTGAATCTTGGGGAAAATAATGGAGTTCGAATATCAGAAGCAGAGAAATGACGGCAGTAAATGATTAACTGGGGTAAAAGGGCATGCGCTCGGATTGACAAACATGGCAAGCCGAGGCTGCTAAGAACCCATAGGGTAATAGATATGCAAAGCGCAACATAGCAGCCCAGGGATGGAGAACGAGTTCCACAGTATTTCGGATTTTTGCCAGCCAATGGAGATGACGTAGCTTCCCACTTTTCTTTTATTTGTTGAAATGTAATCAAACATTTCTTCCTCTCCATGGTCCTGCGGCTCCAGATAACCCGCTATCGCCACTCATTCGTCTCGAGATTCTTGGGATACCGGAAGCAATGGCGGCCAGCGCCACATGTTTATCGATTACAAGCAAGCAGCATTGGCAACCCCGGCCCTTCTTATAGGCGTTAAAAGAACAATTCCCAGTTCAAGCGGCGTCCGTAGTTTTTCCCCGTTTTGATAATTTCGCCCTTGGTTCTTCCTTTTTGGGAGTGGAGCAGAGGCTGGAAATCTGTAGCGCGTTCTCCAGCGCTAGCAAGGGATAATTACTGGGATTTGCGGGAGTGGATGAACATCTGCCGCTAAGAATTCTTAGCGGCAACACGGATGCTTGTAGGCATGTCGCGTTCAAGCTTGAAAAAACGACCAAATTTTTATCAAGATTTCAAGATGAACTGACTTGATATCGTACAGGCCGACGACCTTCATCTCAGCCTCCTCTCGACATCTATGCGGCTTATGTCGATGTACTTCTCCCCTCCGGCCTCCCGCAACGGGAGAGAATTTGGGACCTTGGGACGGCGAGATTAAAAATGGGCCCATGATGTCACTGTGCCTTGTCCCTAGGTTCGGTGCCGAGATCTGATCTCCACAATCGATGAGACCCCGTAACTGCCTGAGCCTTGGCCTGAGCCTTGGCCTGAGCCTTGGCCTGAGCCTTGGAAGGCCGACCAAACCAATCGCTGGATGCTTTCGGGTAGATGACAGCGATTTTATCAAGCGGGTGAGAGGTTGTTCCAGTCCGTAGCCTTGAAGGTGAAATTGGGTTCAACCTTATTTTTTTCTCGGTTTTTCTGTCGAATAATGACGCCCGTCAAACAAAGGCAAGGAACAGCGGGCCACAGTAGCTAGTGAGACGAGATTTCAGAATGCGGTCTACAAACTACCGTGTATGTTGATGTTAAGACTACCCAGGCCAGCGCCACACTATAGCATGTGATGCCCCCTTCTCTGGGACATCGGGAAGCTAATTCTGACTTCGGCAATAGGAGAGGATTTTCCAAAATTCCAGAAAGATCACTGATGACGCACAGCCACCATCACCTAAGAAGCCCATTGATTTAATTAATATGCTGTTTCAGCGCCAGCCTGGATGTCTTCGAATGCGAGATTATTGTCTTTCTAAATGACAATGCCAAAACGTCTCATATTGTGTATGTACCAAGTTGTTTGCCAGCAGAAAGGCTCAACATATCGATATATCACCCCAAAAAAGGAGGGTATGCTAAAGAGATCCTAATGCTATAGGGTCGAAATTCGAAGATGTGCAAAATAATAGGCCAAGTATCAAACCGAAAATGTCATTTGCGCGCGCTGAACGTATATGCCATCAAAACTCCAATCTCACAATCATCATAGTATGGGAGGATGAAGAAGAAGAAGAAGAAGAAGAAGAAGAAGAAGAAGAAGAAGAAGAGGGGAACAAGCCAGGTGGTATAAGGATATAAATAATCATTGCGCTGACACTAAAAGGGACAGTGCTATCAAGAAACTCCAAAAGAAAAGAGAACAAGGAAATAAGAGTGGTCTAATCAAAGATTCATCGTAACCGTCATACTATTACTATGAACCAGCAGACACGGAGGGAGTCCATTGCACAAGATATCAAGATCGCCCACATAAGATTCGCTAGCAGCCTTGTCACGCCAAGTTCCTTCTATCGGCGATGGTAAGGTCGTGAAAATAACTGCTGTCTTTTGACTGTTGTTTTGAATCAGCTCGTTTAGTATCATATGTTGCGCGCGACATGGAAGGTCGTTAAACGAGAGCGGCACGACATTCTGGGCTGAGGGGCCGGAAGGTGGGGATCGGTTCGGTGGGGAATTTGAGGGAGATGCTGTAGATTGTGCTTCAGGCTGTCTTGCGTATATTGAATGGCGTGGAGTTGATGGACCGGCTGATGAGCGGTCTCTGGGCGGACTGGTGGCAAACATGATTGATGGGCCTGAATCTTCTTTATCGGCCACTCGGGTAGCGGGGATAGGTGAGGACGAAAACTTGTTGCTTGAGGCTGTTCGGGGTATGACAGGGCGACTTGGGGGAGGTGAACCTAGCGGACCCGGTTCGTTTGTGATGGTAATGGTTGGGCCATGACAAGGTGGTAGTGCGACTTCAGGTTCAGATGAACTCGACGGCTCGTCTTCAACAGCAGTCTCTGTAAGGGCTCTGGGCAAAACATGGCCCATCTGGTGGCGTCTGGATTTGTGTAGACCAGTCCGAATTCCTCTTCTTATTCCTGCATCCTCAGTATTTCCTTCGGAACGCTGTGCAGAACTCGATGCATCTTCCTCATCACCGTCACTGTCACTCAAATATGTTTCGATATCGCTATCATGACTTGAAGACTCTGAACTGCCATCTGAATGGTAGTCCACCATTGTATCCAGCAACCGTTGTGTTTGCGTACCAACGGAGAAACCCATCGCGCCAAAGCTACCAATGGACCTTCTCTTTTTTGAACTTTCAATCAACGTCCGCAAGTTGTCGAGTCGCGAACCAGTGTCTCCGTTACGTCCACGCTGGAACGAAGAGGTTGGCCATTGTGGTGTTGTTCCGGGATGCGACACCCGTTGTCCCACTTTGCCTCCTCTCTGTTGACCGGCCCATTCGGTTCGGAGTAGGCGGACATCCTGCCACCAACCTTCATCCTTCAATAAAAGATTCACGGATTCGACGGTCATCTGGTCAATCCCGGACTCATCGCCATTGACGATTATCTGGTATGACTTCAAATCACCGCTAGCAAGCCAAAAGACAAGGACCTCCGCTTCGATTCGAAGTTTCTCAAGCAATGTTGTCACTCTTCTGCGCTCCTCTTCAACATCGCTTTCGTATTCCACAAATACCGCCACACGAAGACGGTATGACTTTTTCCAGGAAGATACTGTGTTCAAAATGCATCCGAGCTGTAAAATTAGAGTATATGTATCGAAGTTGGTTGTCAGAATGTTTTGTTTACTCGCGCCGTCCGCCGTTATTTCCGCAGACATCTGGATAGGCCATAAATCGATGTATTTCTTTGTATTTTTGCCACTCGCGGGTAGCTCAAGTTGGTCAAAGCCCTTAGCCACAGCCACATTGATCCGTAATTTGAACAACAGGTCCTCCAGTACGGTTAAATAGCTCTGAACACTCATTTTATGGTCATATCTGCAAGGTTCGGTTCTGCCATCCAAAGAATCGGGATCTTCATTGCCGTTCTGGGGGGCTATGGGTTTTAAGTTGGAATTGAATCTCAAACCAGATGCAAAGGGCGTCTCTGAAACCCACTCAATCTTGCGAAATTCATCGATTACGACAATATTGGGCCTCATTCCTCCTAGACCTGAGTTCAGAACAATATTCCTAATGCCCCACTCCTTGCTAGGAGCAATCGATATGTTGATAAACGCCTTGACTTTAGAAAATTCGATAAATTTAGTCCACGAGGTTTGCTCTCGGCGGGCATCTGGGACCGCGCTGGCAAAGTTATCCGCGACTATAACGTGCCCGAGAACGAATAGGCCGCCTTTCTTTAATGAATTGCAGAAGTGAATCATTTTATACTGTGAGTCAAAGTCGTTGACGAAAAGGAGAATTTGCGGGCGCCAAAATTTGACGTGTTCGGGCCGAAGACGAAGCAGATACTTACGGACTTGGTGATAGATGAGGCTCTGGCTAACATCGCCCCAAGACTTTGGGGGACTTGTGTAATGGATTAGGAGAAATAACAGCATCAAGATACAAACGCAGCCCGACGCGTAGACTCCATCGACGAAAAACATGGTCATACCGCTGATGACTGTTCCGAATAAGGCCGTCCAAGAATTGAAATAATGAAAAGAGGGGCGAAAGTTTGGAGCGGACCCAACTTTCAGTAAAAGCAAGCAAGATTGGTCACTAAAAATGTCATGAGATAGGTCATTGTGATGAATGATGCGATCTGGTTGATGTCAAAAAGCATCGTAATTTGGGCGACCACGAATGTGAAGACGATAGCATTAGTGGGTTCATCATATTTCGCTGTGCCTTGGCCAAAGACGGTCAATCCTGGGATAAGGGTGTCTCGGGCTATGGCCTGAAGTAATTTTGCAGAGCCAATGACCCCCATTAAGGATGAAAAAAAAGAGGTCGCAAACTCCCCAAGAAGAATAAGGACACCGGAGACATTAGTCTAGACCTGTCAGTAGAATATTTGGTAAGCTGTAATACAGGTTCAGGTTAACAACTTACGTCTTGGATGATATTGACATCGTTATAGAGGGATTTTCTGGTTAAACTACATGCCATTGATAGAATCACAACGGCGTAGGTAAAAAGGGTCACTCCGAGCCCATATAGTGTGCCTTTTGGTATAGCTTTACTAGGATGTTTCAAATTGCCAGACATACTCGCACCCCTAAATGACCGCACAACAGGAATTAAAATTAGCCCGTAACCTGGGGATCAGAAAAGCGTGGTAATAAAAGTATTCGTACGCGAATATACCCCCAGTTGCAGGGAATAGGATACCAAACAAATCCTGAAAGGTCACCCTGCCATGTATTTGACTCCCAGCGGCACCTTTTGTAAGCCTTGGGAAAAGATTATCCAGGAATGTTTTTGAGCTTAGCCCAGTAAATTCAATTCCCAGGGTTTCATTTTTGAATGGTTCCATCATGAGCGCAGAGAACGGAATGCTGAAGGTTGACACAAGCAAAATAACAAGGAGACCATTGCTAGCGCGTGAGAATATAGAGCTCCCCGCGAGACAAATTCCCGTACAGAGAGTCATGACGATAGTGGCCCAGAGATAGGTCCAGCCAAATCCTTCTAGCAAAAACTGAGACCATTTGCCGGATACGGATCCAAAGCTTTGAATCAGACAGTTGACCAAGCCAACTGCATTCATTCCAGTGTTGAGGACGAATCCGATATAAAACACAATTCCAATTGAGCCACCGAACTCCGGGCCGAGGGACCTAGATATAAGATAGTAGGCACCACCTCCACGGACGGTTCCGTTTGTTGCGATAGCTGAAATAGACATGGTTGTAAGGAGATTTATTAGGTAAGAGGCGGCAAGCATTCCTGTGTTTCTTTGGGTCAATATGTCATCCATACTAAATAACATCTAGTTGAAACCATACCCAATGTACCCAGAACTCCAGCTTGTCCCAGAATGAACCCAAACCGAAGAAACATAAGAATACTCAGCACATTCAAGGTGGTGGGAACAAAGACACCTGAAAAGGTGCCTAGCTTTTCGGAGTCATCTGATGTGCCAGATCTCTGTTCAGCCTTCTCCTTCCTATCAAGGAAATCAATATTTCGTGGATTCTGGTGAGCAACTGACGTCCGCCTCACCAAAACCACGCCTGGGGTTCTTTGCTGCTCCATGTCTGCTTCCCTGCCTCCATCATGAGACTTCCCGAGAAAACTGCTTGTAAACCTTCGAACACCGGTTGCCTGAGGAGAGGTTGACGTGAAGGGTGAGTATGGACGATCTGGAGCAGCAGATCGGGTTTCAGTGTGATCATCGATTTGTTGGCTTTCCATACCAAACCCAAAACCTGCACCATCAGCTGTTCGAGCAGCAAAGGTAGGTCTATTTCGTGGTCCTCCATTACCAATATTCCTGCTCTCCGCCATTTACGACTTTGAACCCGTAGTTAGCTATCGAAACGTATGCTGCATAATTGAAGTTCGAATTGAGTTAATACAGTTTATATCTCCACGCAGGAAAGAGAGATCTCCCAAACTTGTGGAAATGCACGAAGTGAGAGGAGGAGAAGACTATGGAGCAGGTAAAATTCCGATTGGGAATAAGGAGATGCAAAAGAAAGTGAGTCAGTCGGGAGCTGATACAGATACCATGGAGAGGGTTGTCAGAGTTACAAAAATCTTAAGTCCAAGGAGCTGTTTGATGCTAAATTAGGTAAGCAGTATGGGAAGGACACTAGTCCGATCTGGGCAGAGAACTCGCTCCCTCAGTAAGTGTATTCCGTACCGGAATAGCACAAATTGGTATCTATGTTGAATGTTGCAAACAAAGTATGTAGTTTGGGCGGGTTAGGGTTTGCCGGGGGGGGGAAATTCTTGAATTCTTGTCCTTGACTGTGCATATGCTTTGTACTGTACGTGCGGAGACGTGGAACAGGAGTCCGTCCATGTGCCAGAAATTTATATGATAATCATGCTACCGTAACTACGGAGTACACAACTATCAGTTGGCAAGCCCTCAAAACAGTTGGTATGAATTGAGAGGCTTAAGACCTAAAGCTTAGTTATCCAGTGAGGCATCAAGGTCCCTTAATTAGTGCGTTGAGGGCCGGATTGAGTTGAGTGAGCATGTGCCCTTGAAGGACCTACCAATGACGACATCAAGGCTCATTTATCGCCAAGCCGGAATCAGGATGACTAATCAACCAGCCGCCGTTGTCCCAACATCTTAACAACGGTGATAGATAGACGGATAGAGTCACTCTTTGAGAACGGCACTCAATACACCAATAAAATATGTCTCCCGTACTCACAGCGTGAGAAAACAGACTGCACCCAATTTTATTGCCTCTCTCCGATGGCTACAGTATTGTTCATACCTCCCCAGCCCATACCAGAGCGAAAACAGCTTTCCCTCTTGAACCGTCGCGTACTTACTTGTTTTGTTGCATCCATCTCAGTATCAGCCAAGTAAGCCTATATACATTGCTGGAGGAGATGTCGGAAAACCCAGATAAATCCCCTTTACTATCTCATTCGCAACGCCCTGGTTCTCCAATCCCGTCCATTCGGTCTGGTTCCCCAGCCCCTGGCTCCCTTCCAAGGCATATTACAACAGCCCGCCTTGCTACACCCATCCCATCGTCATTTGATGGACAGAGCCAGAGCCAGAGCCAGAGCCCCCGCGCAATTCCTATTTCAAATGGGCTATCGTTGGACCAAATCACCCTTCCCCCTAGGGCTCATGCGTTCTCACTCCATGGTCCTGGTCATTCCGCTTTAGCATCTGCTCTACAGCACGATTCCGTACAGAGAAAGCCCTCAGGGAACACCTCTCCACCCTCAACAAAATCCGATTCGCCTCCTTTCCCCCCTGCGAAATCGACGTATGGGTCCTTCGATGCCAGATCCGGTAAAGACGGTGGATCAGACCAAGCTGCTGGGACGATGGAAAACCCAGATATAGTAAGGAGGCATTTGGTTCAGCCGCAACATGACTCGGATAACCGTGCGTCAGGACAGAGTTCGGACTCTTCGAGGAATGCGGGACCGAATGAGGAGTTTTCTAGTCTTCAACTCCAGGGGGGGGATATTACAAGACCTATCTATCGATGGGCTGAGGAACTAGCTGGACAGGGCACCAATGGTTCTCGTCGCAGACGCAGTTTTGATATAGCTCGACCAGAGCCCGAGAGTGAGGTCCTGGACATCAATACGATCAAAGTTCCTGGAGGTTTCCGGAGAGATTTTCTCCGTCGTGTTGCTGGTCCCGGGGATTTACAAGATCTTCACGCCGCTGAACAAGGTGAACATCAAAACGGTAGACCAGTTCTACTTACGAACAATTTCCTAGAGTTCCTGACTCTATATGGCCACTTTGCAGGAGAGGAGTTGGAAGAGGACGACGAGGCACTGGGACCGGATGAGTACTTTGCCCCTGACCTATGGAGTCATCGGGAGTCGATGACAGATGAGGATAGAAGATTGCTGGCGGAAGAGGAACCTCTCCTCCGCCCAGAGACTCCTGGAAAACCCCGTAGACCAAAGGAACGCATTAAGCAACCGAACACCACATCAACAGGAGCAATGCTTCTCCTTCTGAAATCGTTCGTTGGGACGGGGGTTTTGTTCCTGCCAAGAGCTTTCATGAATGGAGGAATGCTTTTCAGCTCTGTGGTGCTCGTTTCCGTGTCCCTCCTTAGCTACTACTGCTTTATACTCCTCGTCAACACGCGACTAAAAATACATGGGTCATTCGGTGATATTGGCGGCGTGCTCTACGGCAAACACATGAGACGGATCATTCTAGGATCCATTGTCCTCAGCCAACTTGGTTTTGTGTCTGCATATATTGTTTTCGTTTCCCAAAACCTACAAGCGTTTGTTCTTGCTGTGAGCAAGTGCAAAACTTATATCGACATCAAGCTCATGATATTGATACAATTGGTTGTTTTCCTACCTCTCTCCTTAATCCGTGACATCAGTAAACTAGGGTTTACAGCTCTCATTGCAGATGTTTTCATCTTAATGGGCATTATCTACCTATACGTCTATGGCGTTGAGACAAT